AACTTTGAAATTCTCCCTTGTAATTCCAGCCTTTTATTTTTCTGACAAAACAATTCTTTTGTGTATTCGCGAGACTGTCGGGTAGGCACTCGTTAAGTTTTGCGTCTGTTTTTCTTTTCGAAAGATGAGAGTATAATAGCAAAGGTAGAGAGTGGACAGAAGATACCTAATGTTGCTGGGCAATATGGAATAAACAGGTCTACAGTAGGCCTCAGTTCAATCTTATTTAAGAAAAATGCTGTATAATCAAAAAGACTCCAGCAGCTAAAGCAGTAACAAAAATCACTTCTGAGAAATAAAGAACATCGAAGAGTTCGTAATGGAACCTGAAACGGATCTGACGACAGAAGAACGCCTAGAACTTTTGAATGAAGAACACCAAGAAACTCGGCAAGATATGTTTCTTCTGAAAAAGAGGATTAATGTCGATATCTGTTATTAAAGATCCTTTGTAGAAGTGGGAGGATGTCAGAACAACGGTCTTAGAATGGCATCGAAACCATGTTGAGGCTTGGGGACCTCTACAAATACAATGCTATTAATTACTTACGAAAAATCGTGAAGAAGAGAGAAAAAGCAATCGACATTAGACAGATTCTTTAACCCTTCAAAAGGAAAAAAACATTACTAATTAAAACGCAACACTGTGTATGTATGTAGTTTTATTATTACATATAAATAAACGTAGTAAGAAGGTATATATTTTTTATTTTTTAAGGTTTCCAGAACGAATTAATTAAATTCCCATTAAAACCTACGGTAAATCGATAATCGGTTAACGAACAATTCAGATAGTGAACAAAATCTTGGAACGGATTAAGTTCGTTAACCGATCACCCACTGTATTACTATATAAAATTAGATATAGAACAGTAGAATCAAAAAATTTATTTTTAAAGATACTACTATATATTAAATATGTATTTCTATATTTAGCCTCCAAAGTGTATTTTGAGGTTATTAACAGAAGAATGTAGAATGCCAAAAGTATGTCAATATTATATTAAAATTTTCAACTTAAGATTTTAATTTATTTTACTGTAGTATAAAAATACAATTTATTTTATAAATTCATGTTTTATTTCTGTAGGGATCCGATATTACTTATGTATCTAAATTGCATCAAGAATTTGAAGATCATCATAATTATGTAAAAGGAGATGATCGTAGAAGGTGGGAGAAAGAATTTGGAGTAAAACATTATGCTGGAGATGTTGTTTACACAGTTGAAGGATTTTTAGAAAAAAATAAAGATGTTCAACAAGATCAATTGTTTGAATTAATGCAACAGTCTTCAAATACTTTTGTTCAAGACTTAGTGAAATTTCAGGTATAATCAATATTNCCTAGAACTTTTGAATGAAGAACACCAAGAAACTCGGCAAGATATGTTTCTTCTGAAAAAGAGGATTAATGTCGATATCTGTTATTAAAGATCCTTTGTAGAAGTGGGAGGATGTCAGAACAACGGTCTTAGAATGGCATCGAAACCATGTTGAGGCTTGGGGACCTCTACAAATACAATGCTATTAATTACTTACGAAAAATCGTGAAGAAGAGAGAAAAAGCAATCGACATTAGACAGATTCTTTAACCCTTCAAAAGGAAAAAAACATTACTAATTAAAACGCAACACTGTGTATGTATGTAGTTTTATTATTACATATAAATAAACGTAGTAAGAAGGTATATATTTTTTATTTTTTAAGGTTTCCAGAACGAATTAATTAAATTCCCATTAAAACCTACGGTAAATCGATAATCGGTTAACGAACAATTCAGATAGTGAACAAAATCTTGGAACGGATTAAGTTCGTTAACCGATCACCCACTGTATTACTATATAAAATTAGATATAGAACAGTAGAATCAAAAAATTTATTTTTAAAGATACTACTATATATTAAATATGTATTTCTATATTTAGCCTCCAAAGTGTATTTTGAGGTTATTAACAGAAGAATGTAGAATGCCAAAAGTATGTCAATATTATATTAAAATTTTCAACTTAAGATTTTAATTTATTTTACTGTAGTATAAAAATACAATTTATTTTATAAATTCATGTTTTATTTCTGTAGGGATCCGATATTACTTATGTATCTAAATTGCATCAAGAATTTGAAGATCATCATAATTATGTAAAAGGAGATGATCGTAGAAGGTGGGAGAAAGAATTTGGAGTAAAACATTATGCTGGAGATGTTGTTTACACAGTTGAAGGATTTTTAGAAAAAAATAAAGATGTTCAACAAGATCAATTGTTTGAATTAATGCAACAGTCTTCAAATACTTTTGTTCAAGACTTAGTGAAATTTCAGGTATAATCAATATTAATATTATTTAAAATAAAATTGTTATTGATATAATTGATAAAATATAAGTAAAATATATTTTCTTGAATCACATTATGAATTCTCTCATAAATTATTATTAATTTTTATTATATTATATCTGTTACCAGTGGCATAACCAGAAACTTCAAATAGAGGAAATTTTTACTATTTTTTTATTATAAAATTTATAATAAAAGTAATTATTTTTTATAATGCAATTTAAGTATTTTAAAAAAGTAAGCAAGCATGTGCTTTTTTCAGCTTTTTTGAAATTTAACAGTTTTTAAAAAAATTTCTTTTGAAGGTACTCACTCACTCTAGTTGCTCATTCTGATTGTGCCACTGCCTGTTACATTCTAATTTTACAAGAGTACTGACATTTTGATTTCATATATTTGTTATTTTAATAACTATATATATATATATATATGTATATGTATGTATAGGATTTATTAGGAGTTACTATTAATCGTCTTGGTAATGGAAGTACAATGTCTAGAACTATGACAAAAGGTCGTCCTACTGTAGCTGATGCTTTCCGTCATCAATTAACTGCTCTTGTTGATGTTTTACAAGCTACAACACCCTGGTAATTATAGTCTAAAATTGATATAAAATAATAATGAAATTATGTGGACTTGATAATTTACAGAATTTAATACTCTCAATTGTCATCACCTAATATTAAATAAAAAAATGTTTTAATAATTGGGTGACCATAAAATCTTTCTCTGATTACAAACATTTATTGTGTAAAACCTATGCTATGTATAAGTATACAGTTTTCATCAAATTTATAGTTTAATCAAAAAATTTTTTCACTAGACATTTCAACATATACTCCATTTGTGGCCTGAGAATGTCAAGTTGATATTTAGAGTGGGAATCAAACTTGCAACTTCTGTTTACTATGGCAATGCATCTGCAAATTAGGCAAAAATTGTTGATATGAGTCTTACTCCATATAGATATTCTTTCCCAGAATATTATAAATTAATTGCTTTAATTATTAAATTTAATGCACGATTGTAACTTAACCATTTACCTTTAGTCCAAATTATGTAATATTTGTATATTTAATTTGCCAACTTATAACCTGATAATGAAATATTAAATTGGAATTTCGTCGGATGATATTTTTTGAGTTAATTGAAGACACAGACTGTCCAAAAAAATTTTTGGTAAACACCATTTTTTTCACTTCATGTGTTTCAGAACAAACTTTTTGACGACCTGACCTTCTTTTTTGGGCTACTTGGCCGTCAAGTGTACAAACATTCCTTTAAAAAAAAACAGAACATGTGAAGTGAATAAATGGTGTTTACCAAAAATTTTTTTGGACAGTCTATGTCTTCAATTAAATCAAGAAATATTAAATGTTAATAATAATTTAATAATTAATTTTTTATGTCCTGTATTGTTTTATTTGTTTAAAATACATTTTTTTTTATTAGTGTATGGTTGTATTTTATATGGAACAAGTTACAACAAAAACAAGAATTTTGTGACTCTGAAATTTTTGATAAATATCAATAGATAATCATTGCTTTCAATTTATGAGCTCTATGATGGCCTTTCTTTTCTGCTAGACTTATTACGCCATCATTCAGAAACAGGACAAGCTTTAGAAAATCACATTTTATTTCCTAGAGTATGCATTTTGGACTTCGAGTCTCTTATCAACTCTACACAAGAAGCATATTACAGATAATCATTGAGTTATGATTTAAGTAGAAAATTTCTAGATCTAAAACTTAAGTTTAATTATTTATACAGTAGAGTGTCGTTTATCTGGAGGTCGGTTATCCGAAACGCCGGTTATCCGAAGGAATTCCAGTCGACAAATTTAAATTTTCACCAGTGCTGTGGCGCTGCAATCTTTGGCTGTCTTTGGCNCAAGAATTTTGTGACTCTGAAATTTTTGATAAATATCAATAGATAATCATTGCTTTCAATTTATGAGCTCTATGATGGCCTTTCTTTTCTGCTAGACTTATTACGCCATCATTCAGAAACAGGACAAGCTTTAGAAAATCACATTTTATTTCCTAGAGTATGCATTTTGGACTTCGAGTCTCTTATCAACTCTACACAAGAAGCATATTACAGATAATCATTGAGTTATGATTTAAGTAGAAAATTTCTAGATCTAAAACTTAAGTTTAATTATTTATACAGTAGAGTGTCGTTTATCTGGAGGTCGGTTATCCGAAACGCCGGTTATCCGAAGGAATTCCAGTCGACAAATTTAAATTTTCACCAGTGCTGTGGCGCTGCAATCTTTGGCTATGTCTTAGGCTACTCAAATATTTTACGTTTTTGATACTAAATTAACTTGTGAAGTATAATTTTTTATTGTTTTTATATTTTTCAATATATTTATTTTGTTCGTACAAAGTAAAAAAATAATTTTTAATGATACAATAGTCTTCGTTAGGCTTAACATCGACGAAAATTCAATGTGAAGCGACACGCAACGGAGAAAAATTTCAACACGGGATAAATTCATATATTTTTTCGCACATAATCGGTTATCTGAAAAATAAGTTATCCGAACAACCCCAGTCCCCAATTGATTCGGATAAACGACGCTCTACTGTATTTCTTATTGATAATTCAAACATGAAATTAATTGGAGTATATATACTTTCTATCTAAAAAGTAACTTGACCAAATATTTCTAGTGAACAATGCATATGCCAGAATGTAAATATACAATCTGCTAATTTTTGCCTTGTTTTTGCCATTTGAAGCTCAATTCTTGTCTTGTAGGCAGGTCTAGTATTTTCCCATCCTCCCTGTTTATCAGTTATAGATCCTATAAACATATTCCTGTTCTCAAAGCTCAAAGTTCACATGAAAGGATATTGTTATGATAGTTTAAAAGACATTCGAAGCAAGTATGACAATGGAATTGAAGAGCATCTGAAAAGGATTTTTTTGACAATAACTTTGATTGGATATATGAACTTTGTAAGGAGTGCATTGCCAATGCAGAGAACTATGTAGAACATCATAATTGATAGAGATTTGTAGCTCAGTTTGTACATTTTTCCTAGTCTACTTACTTTTGAGACAGACAGTGTATGTTATTTATTCAACTATAAAACTTTAAGAATCTTTTCATTAAATTAAATCAAATTCAGTAAAATTATACTATAATTTATAAAAAGAATTTAAACAAATTTCAATGTGAAATTTATTTTATAAAAATAAAACAATTTTTTCATTCATAAAATTTTTATTAAGGTATGTTCGATGTATAAAACCTAATACAAAGAAAATGCCAAATAATTATGATGATGAACAAGTTTTAACACAACTGTGTTATTTAGGAATGTTGGATATTATAAGAATTCGACGAGAAGTAAGTTATTTGAATAAAAATGTTATTAAAACTTATGTATATTAATTCTATAAATTTATAGATAAAATATTTTACAGGGTTTTCCTATTCATACATCATTTAAAGAATTTTTATTACGGTATCGAGGTTTAGTAAGGAGCAAATATCCAAGTGATCCTCGTGAAGGAGTGAGTTATATATTGCAGTCTCTTGGATTTTCTAAAATGGAATGGCAAATTGGAAAAACTAAGGTAATCTTTTTAATATAATTTAATAATGTAAACATTTTTGAGATTTTAAAACTTTGTTATTTGATGTATAAGATAACTATTATTATGAATATCATTACATCATTTGATCATTTAGCTTGTTGAATATGATATCTAAATTATCAAGGATTTAATATTCTGAACATTCTGTTAACTCAATTACATATTAATTGAATACTTGTTAATTACTGTTAATTGTAAGTAATCCAGTTCATAACCAATACTTTCATATTTTAAATTAACTTTATCAAAGTCCTTCATTATTTGTTTAATTTAATATGGCAAGTGTTGTAATAAATTATATTTATATATATAGGGAAGTTCATTTTAATCAATCTTCTGGAATAACTCAAAAAATATGCATTTTGTAAAAACCTTATTAAAACAAAAATGTTAGACTTCATGGTGCTAGTAGACGGTTCTATCTGTTTTATCATAGATGACACTTTAATTGGTGAAAATGGGGTCAACTTTTTTTTGTTAAATGGGAATCCTCATTTTTTTTATTGCATTGTGATTTTACAAAAAAAAACTTTTATATTCAACATTTTCATTGTTTTACTTTTAAAACAAACTTTTATCTGAAACATTTTTTCTGAAAGATGCACTTATCAGAAGTTACGAGTGTTTGAACTTTTATGCAACAGCATATCACATGCACACAAGTCTGTGGATATCTGCAAAGTTAGTTAAAGAACAGTAAAATTGATTCTTTAGGATGATGATAAAATGCTGGGGATTGCAAACAGTTACAATAGTATTAACCAAATTCTTTTTACATAATATGCATTCATTATACTTTAAAGTTTTTTCAAATACTTTGAAGTTACATTTATATTAATTCATTATTTAATATCAATTTGAATTGTAAACAAAATTTTCATGTTGAATTTACCATTTTAAATTTATACAGTGCCTTTTACTGTTTGTTGGAATTGCCAATTATTTGTCTTTAAACTGCATGATTGTAGCAAGTGTTCATCTCATTGCAGTTTTAAAAATTATTATAATTTTTAATATTTAGCAATTAGATAATTTATTAAAAAATTATTTTTTTATTAATTTGCATTTATCATTTTTCAAGTTTATTTTGATTTCATTATATTTTTAGGTATTTTTAAGAAGTTGTGTTCATGAACCTTTGGAAGATCAAAGAACAATACTTATTCATGCTATGGCTATAATTATTCAAAAAACTTGGAGGGGATTTTTATGTAAAAGAAGTAAGATTATTAAAAATAATATAAATATATTTTTCAACAAGATTACTTTATTTCAATTTCATAAATGATATAAAATATCATTGTTTTATAATATCTAAATTTTATACAGGTTGATCAGAAAGTTGTGCAACTGAAACTAAACTTTTGAATTTTTACTGAAAGTAAAAGCTCCAAAATGACATCAAATAATAGTACACAATTTTATTTTACAAAATATGGTGTTGTTATATTTAAAACTTTAGTATTAGGATATTTATTATGGAATTCTCTAGACCTCTTATCAATACATATGAACAAGTGCAGGAGTATTGTTTAATTAAGAACACATACTCTACTTGTAAAAAATGTTTTTTTTTTTCCATACTGCAAATAGGAGCTAATGGCACTATCTATGACAAAAGGCATTATCAATAACAAATATGCTTCAAAACATTCAAAATTTCTTATTTTCGATGAAATATATGCCATTTGAAGTTGTTTTCATCAAACTGTGTGATGTATTGTTAATTATAGTGATGTTCAATAAAACTACATCACTTTCATTTTTCACCTTTAAGTTTCTAAATTATTTTATTGCTTAAAATTATTATTATAATAGAAGCAAAATTTGGCATGGTGTCTTGAATATGAGGAGCATTGATGCTATTAAGTTTTGGTGGTTAAAGGTTGAGAAGGTGAGGAAGCTAGAGGAACATTGTGTGTCATATCTCGAGAGTGTAGGACTTAATGAAGATTTTATTGTTTATTAATGTTTGTAATTTTATATGGAAATTGTAGATTTAAGTCACATTTGTTATGTCTGCCTTTATTAACTGTGCTGTAGGTCTCCAGACATTTAGGAAAAAATAAAATTTAAATTGTTGTGTCAGTTATCTCTTTCTTTCAGTCTTAGAAAAGGGTTACTATTGGAGTGGTAACTGTTAGGTTTCATTACAAGAGACAAACTCATTGATTTATTTCCAAATACATTACCATTGTTACATTACTTGTACAGTGGAAAGATTCCATATATTTCTTAGCCAAGATATTAACAAAAGGTTTGTTTAAAATATACATATTTTTTACTGTTGGTCATTCATACACCAGGGCTGTTTGTATCTGTAATATAAGGCAGCTGAAATTTCTCTTTGTTGATGATCCTTTTGGTACTTCTGGGATGACTTGTTGTGTTGTTTGTTGTTCATAGACACAGTTTTCCATGGTTCTTCCTCAGAAAATGATTCTTTGTATGCACCAAAGCTGTTGACAAATATCCAACAAATGCCATTTTGGAAAAGGATTTTTGTCTCATTATCAATTTTTGTTTGAGCAGTCATGCAAAGCATTTGTTGGAAGTTGTTTCATATCACAGAATGACATTGCTATTTGAGTTACTTCAAACTTATTTTGGTGTTGTGAATTTCAAATAATGTCCTTGTACTGTTCCAAAGAATACACATTTTTGTACTTTCAGATATCTTTCTCAATATGTGCAAAGTCATGGTCAGAATCAAGCATGCTGTTGCCTGCTTCAGGAACTTGTGATCTATCACTTTGAAAAGACTTTCCAGGTCAGATTCTACCACAGATACACAACTGTTAAGTTCTTGTTATGACCTCTGTAGAAATTTGACTATACAGTTAAGTGAGAGTCTATTATTCTTGAGATAGAGAATTTCTGAGATATTGAAAAAATAAATCAATTTGTAAATATGTTTGAATGAAAATGGTCTGGTAAGCTTGCAAACAACTATATGGGACTATATCCAACTATAATTTTAAAAATAATTAAAATCAGAACAGGAATCTTATTGGAATTGAGATTTTTTAGTAGAATTTATATTGGATATTGTTAGAAATTGTAGTATTGTCTCATCACTGATAAATATCACAATGCTCTATTCTATCAATTTTTTATGTATAAATTAGAAATGTTTTACCATTTAATAAAGATTGAAGAATACTGCTTATTTATTAATTTGATAATATCAGCATATAAATAAATGTTATATATACAGGATGTTCATACAGTTTGTGTACAATTTAAAAAATTCATAACTTTATTAGTGATAGAAAATATCTGTAAAAAATATTAGAAAGCTTAATGTACCTAATTTTCAGTAAAATTATTTAGTAATGGATTGGACGAGATGGACCATTTTCCTAGCCTCCATATTTTCCAGACTTGACTCATTAGATTTTTTTATGGGGACATGTGAAAACAATAGTGTATGCAACCAAACCTTGATCATTAGAAGAATTGAAAGCTAAAATAACTAATGTGATTTCAGGCATTACTGTAAATCAATTGTTAAATGTTTTTAGAGAACTACAAAATCATATTACCCTTTGTATTACTAATGATAGTGGGCATGTGGAAACTTAATAAAATACAATAAAACAAGAAAAAAAATACAGATTTTCTTATTTCCAATACATTCTACATAATTTCTCTATCACAAATACTATTTAATAATAAAGTTATAAATTTTTTAAATTGCACATTAATTGTACTATCAAAGAGTACATGAAACATTTTTTAATTTTCCTTTTTTTCTGACTTATAGAGGACTAAAAATTTCTTAACTCTAAACCATTTTTTAAAAAATGAAATAGAATTTAAAAGGTTAAAAAATCAAATTACTTTTTGTAGAGAGAAAACACTTTTTTATTATATCATATTTATCCCTATCTCCATAAGTCAGAAAAGAAGGAAAATTTGAAAAATTTTTGTGTACTCTTTGATAGTACAATTAAGTAAGATTGAAAAATTCTGACTCCATTGTTTTAAATAATTTATTTTATTTTTATATAATAAATATATATATATATATATAACATTTATTTATATACTGATATACATATATTTAAATTGTATAAAATTCTAAATTTAAATGGAAATTAAATATGTTTATAAATAATTGTATAATATATTGTTAATAGTTTATCTGAAGAAAAGGAAAGCTGCAATTTGTTTTCAAAGGCGATTTCGTGGACGTCGTCAAAGATTATGCTACCTTCGTATGCGAAGAGCTGCAATTACACTACAAGTAATATTTTAAATTTAAATTAATTAACTATTAATAATGCCTAGTAGTAAATAATTATAAAAATTTATTTTAAGTTCTTATTAATTCTTAAGCCTATTAATAAAATTAAAAAAGTTAAATTAATTATGCTTGACTAAAAATATTTGACAAAAAAATATGAGAAAATTGTGTTATATACTAAAAAATATAGCCTTAAATGTAAATTTCTAAATATCAAAGTTTTATACTAATTATGTGTTAGAGGAAAATTTGAACTTATCTTATGTAATAGAATTTCATAACTTTTGTAAATGATTTTTTTTATTAACAATTGTAATCTTTATTTTTTTATTTCTTTCTCAAAAAGACACTGTGGCCAGGTTGGCTTTTTACAAGCATCTTAAATTAAAATCAACGAAAAAAGTATAAGTAAAACAAAAACAGGATGCGAGCTGAGAAAGAAAATTACTTTCTACCTTAAGTCCAAAAATCAATTGAGAACAAATATCACAGTGGCTTAAAGTTTTTTCCTTTTTTTACGTTCTTTTTGAAGATTTCATAACTTGATATGTTACTAAAATTGTTGCACAGACTATTCCAATAGAAGATTAATTGAAAGCTTCTGAATAATTAAAAGTTTCTAAGTTTTGCATATTTGGATTTCTGCTGTAGTTGCTGCTAACAAAAACACATCTGCTTAATATAAATAAAATTTATTAAGGCTCCAAGACCTATATTATTTTTTAATGATAGATGGCATTTTTATGTTAGAAATCTGCATATTCTTAACAAAAAATACTAATTACATCTTTTGTTACAGCAATTACATTAACTAAGAATAATGTATGAAAGTTTGATAAGGCTTTATTGTAAAAGTTGTTAAAAATTATAAAAAATATTTATAATTTTTAAATTTTATTTAATTATGTATTAATAAGTTTATCATTTTTCATTTCACTTGTTAATAAAATTCATATGTGAAATTACATTTTTAGCCTAAATGCTTTGACCCCATTTTTTTATCATAGCATAAAACTCCAGGCTTATGTTTAACCACTCAGCAGTGACCGACGGATATAGCTGTGAGGTCAGCCGATTAGGGGTGAGGTGTTTTCGACAGCCGAGCGGTTAATTCTGTTGTGTGGGCGCGGAATGACTCACCGAGGCAGGTTTACCATATAAAACCGTTTAATAATATACATAAATCGTTCTTACAACAATCTAATGCGGGCAAGAGCTTATCCCACGATGGGTTTCTGTCACAGTTCCTAAAAATCGGACAGTTCGATTGGTCCTTGGGGAGCTTTCGGCACTGTGGACGCAGAGAACGATGGCTCCGGGGCACGCACCAACACTTGTAGTGATGTCCTCGGTTGACAAGTCGAACCTCGACGATCCTGGACGTGACCTCGGCGATCCTAGAGTGGACGGGTTGGCGAAACCAGTTCCTAGGTCGTCGGAAGAGCCTTCGTTGCGTCTCGGTCGGGAGCACCAAATCCCGACAGGTGAGCACTACACACCAAAACCCAAGACTCCGTAAAGTTCCCGAAAACGCGGTTTTATCGATTTTTCCACCGCGGTCGCCTCTCCATTGGTCTCTCCTCGTCACATGGTGACAATTCGAAACTCCAGGAAGGGCGCGGGAGAGGTCAACGTCGCGTCGGAACACGACTCCTCTCCAACCTCGTTTTCCTCGACTTTACTCTATCTATTGTTTAAAATCTTTTAACAAGACAAAAGGTTCATTGTTTAAATCCGATCTTTAAGTTCGCTCTTTCGCACTACGAAACTTGACTCATTTAAAAAGTCGTTATTGGCCTGCTTTCGGACCCCGTTTGGGTCCTCACAGGGCACCCCCCTTTTGTTTAAAATGTCGCCACCTGATGCGACATTTCAACCGTTGCTTTGGTGCCTCGTGGCCGTCCCCTCCAAAGGAGAGGTCCACTCGGGATCGGACAATGAACTGCTAGCTCACAATCGCGTGGCCATCCAGCCGTAAGGTGTCGCGTAACATTTAACAAAGTTTGCGATTTTCTTTCTTAGGATTACATTTCCTTTTTTTTCCCTAACTGAACCCGTTTTTTTTTTTCAAAGAAATTTTTGTTTTCTCCATAGATTGAGCAATTCATATGAATCTTAAAATCCGATTCAAAATCTCCCAAGAAAAAGCCAAAAAGGGAAAATATCAAATGTATTCGCGTTCCTGCTCAATTTCTCTATTTAGGACCACGAACAGTGATTCAATATCTAATCTGACTTCTCTGTCACAACAGAGTGAACGCAAAAGCTGCTACATGCACTTCCGGTATGCTTTCGTATCTGGTACGTGCATACCCTGTTCGGAAGTCACAAATATGTTTGGCATCCTCGTCATAGCTCCCTTTTTCCAATGTCTGTCTTCTGATTCGGTGTGGATCTTTGTTTCTCTGTCTTCCGATTTTTTTCCTTGACAGATCTTTCCAATTCCAACCTCACCGTCAGAGACCAGTACATTTTTCGTCGTTTCTGTCTAAAGGGGCTTTTGTTGACACATAGGACACAATGACAACAATTTCGGTTTTCCTCCGATTGTCATTTATCATCTTTCGTTGCTTTCTGTGCGTCTTTTCCAGTGTGACGGCTGTGATCATCATGCTCGCGTATTTGGGGAAAATTTTCTTAATCTTTAAATTTGATTATATAAACTACTCAACCTTTGACAAATTCATCAGTGTTTCATTCGTGACAAAGTTGTTTTTCCGAACAAAAATTTTTTTTCTTTTCAGTTCTACAGTTTTGAACTTGAAAAACGCGTTTCTAACCTGAACATTCAGGATCCACAATGAAAAATTTTTACAAATATGAGTTCGTTTCGCGACAATTCTGTTCTCCCGAACGTTTGTATGTACACTTTTTTTTTTCTGTATGGTGACCTCTCCCCTCAGAAGAGCTCACTATTTACATTGAGTAAATAGCCCGACGGGTGTAGGTGGCAGCAAGCGCTCCTGAACCTGATTTTGGGACGTTGTCGCGCCTCCCTCTTCTGTGTTTCGGTGGAGAGGTTCCACCGTTTGCCCGAACTTATGTGTTTTGGGCAGTACCCAAGGATATTCGTCTGCGGGTCCCTGACTTCTCAAAGCGTATCTGTGAGACGGTTGAGTCGCGGTCGCGTGCTGACTAATTTCTACAGTTTCCGCTGACTCTGCCTGATCGGGTTTTATCGAATTTAGGATGAATTCATCCCAGGGGTCTATGATAACAGGTACGGGTTGTTCCGATGTTGACGTTTCAGCTTTCTCCGTCTTAGGACTAAGCTCGTCGGAGGCGAAGGATTCGAATTCTATTCGCGCGACAGCAGGTTTCATTCTATTTGCATGTGTGTGTAACTTCTTTCCCGTAAGGATATGTTGGACGACGAAGTCGACTGGACTGGTCTCCGCTATTATTTTATACGGTCCCTGCCATCTAGGTGCTAACTTCCTTTTTAACCCTGTAGGGACTACTACTTCCGTCACAAATACTCGGTTGCCTAGTAAAAACTTATGGGGTTTATTTTTGCGATCATGGGACACCTTCCTGTCCTGTGCTGCTTTCTCCGCATGTTCCTGCGCCAATCTATGAGCTAAAGCTAACCTCGACCTCAGTTCACTCACATAGTTCTCACTAACATCGTAACTAGGTCGGCTAGGTTCGGTAACCACATCGAACGGAAACACGGGATCTCTCCCATACACTAAATAGTAAGGTGTCTCATTTGTGCTAGAATGCACAGTGGAGTTATATGCGAAAAGTGCAAATGGGACCATCTCGTCCCAATTGCGTTGGTCTACATCTGTGTAATGCGTCAAAATATCTACCAAAGTTTTATTTAATCGCTCCACCATCCCATTGCATTGTGGATGGTAAGCGGTGGTGCAAAAGTTCGCAAACCTCCCGCATCATCTTTGACGTGAAATTTGCGCCTCGATCGGTTAGTAGCTGCTTAGGAACAGAGTGTCTTAAGATTACTTGCGTGACAAATGCTCTAGCGACCGTTTTTGCGGTTATGTCGGGCAATGGCACTGCCTCGGCCCAACGCGAAAAGTGATCCACGAAGACTAATAAATATTTATTGCCATTGTGGGTAGTTGGAAAGGGGCCTTGGATATCAAGGGCAGTCCTCTCGAATACCTTAGTAATCCTTGGAAAAATCTATAAGGGTGCCTGATGTCCTTGCAAAGGTCGTCTTCGCATACTACACTCCTGGCATGACTGACAATAGTGAGTTATGTCTTTATTCATGTCTGTCCAATAGAATTGCGTCTGCAACTTTTTCTTTAATTTTTTTGCTCCCAAGTGTCCTGAACTAGGGATGTCATGAAACATCTTCAAGACATATTCGACCATGTTTTTGGGCGCTACTAATCTGTCCCAGATTTCATTTCTGTCAGGGTTTGACTTTCTATGATATAACGTCTGCTCTGCATCTAAATAAAATTCTCTACTCTCGGGACTCTGACTTTGTTCTTGTGATGTCGAAGCGCCTGTCAAACGCCGACTAATTTCTATGCAAAATGGGTCCTTTTGTTGTTGTTCTCGGATCTGAGCCTTGCTGTATATAGGGTGTAACTCGTCAATGGATGCTATTGGCACTCTACTCAATGCATCTGCATTGGTATGGGCCTTTCCTGGACGATGAACTATCTCAAACTGATATTCTTGTAAAGCCAAGTTCCACCTGCTCAATCGCGAGCTCTCATCCTTCACATTTATGAGCCATTTTAGAGGTCGGTGATCGGTTATGATCTTAAATTTCCGACCATACAAGTACGGCCTAAAATATTTTATTGCCCAGATGACTGCTAGGCATTCTTTCTCTGTCGTGCTGTAATTTCGCTCTGCTTTCTTGAGCAAACGGCT